GCAAGAGTCTCCAAGTTCATCAACAGCTATGGACATGAACACGTTATTGGCTGCTATGTCACACATATCATCACAGATTTCATCCCAGCTGCAAGTGCAGGAAACACGCATATCATCGCAGCTAGATGAAAAGATTACTCAGCTACAAGAGAATTTATTCAAAAATAACTCGGAACTCAGAGAGAGACAGGATAAAATCGAGGAACGACAAGATAAAATCGAAGCGCTTATTAAGGAAAAACAGGACAAAGTAGAAGCTAAGGTGGATGAGCTTGAAGATCGTCTCCGAGGTTTGCAGTTGAATCGTCCAGCTAATTCGACGAACGCCCCCCAAGGTAAAGACTCCATCCTTTGATGGCACTATTCCTCTCCAGGTCTTTAAGCTCCAGTTTGAGAAGACAGCTACAGCAAATCACTGGAGCATGGAGGATAGATCCGCTGCACTGTTCGTTGCATTAAAAGGACCTGCAGCGGAAATCTTGCAGACTATTCCTGATTGTGAAAGGAACAGTTACGATGCGTTAATGGGTGCAGTGGAAAGACGTTATGGTAGTGAGCACAGGAGATAGATTTACCAGATGGAGCTGAAGAATCGCTGCCAGAAATCCAACGAGACTCTAAAGGAATTCGCCTCCGAGATTGAAAGGTTGGCTCATTTGGAAATTGGAGATGCATCTGGTGAGCGCCTCGAAAGAGTAAAAATCCAGAGGTTCATCAACGGAATGCGGGACGGAGCGAGAGACGTACGCGAATCCCAAGCCAACATTTGCTGAAACTGTCTCGTATGCTCAGACGCGTGAAACAGCGGCGCTCCTAAGTAGACCAGCCTACAAAGCACATCGCGTGGAAGTGGAGACACCGGACGAGACAAGGGAAATGCTGAAGAAGCTAATCCAACTGTTGGGCGAGAAAAAGCATGGCCCTGACAAATGTTTTAAATGTGGAAAGCCAGGCTTCTTCGCCTGCGATTGCAGCGCAAGTTCCAGTGCGCTTAACAATTCAGCAGGACGCAAACGCAGGACTGAAGGAGACGAATCCAAATCCAATCAGTCGTTAAACTAAAACGAGCCAGCAGCAAGGGGCGCGCTCTGGCTCCCGCAATTGAATGCCCCATAATCTCCGTCTCGCAAATTGGCATAAAAGCGAGCAACGTACTCAATGAGTTCAAATCACCAATCAAACTCCGAAGAAGAACTGTACTGGGGCAATGTCGAGAGGTAGAGGCAATCTTCAACTGCGAAAACTTACCGGAAAGCGATTCCATTGGCGAGAATGACATGGCGGAAGACATTAATGCCTGGACGGAAGGGTTGGAAGAAATTTACCAGCACAAGGCTAAGGAACTCCTCCGCAGATACTCCAACATATTCTACAAGGATGGCAACAAGCAAGGCAGGACAAAATTTGTAAAACATCGCATTGATACTGGTGATGCAAGGCCAATGCGTCAAGCTCCTCGGAGTGTTCCACTTGCCAAACGTGAAACTGTTACCCAAATAATAAAAGAAATGAGCGAGAGTGGTGTGATTGAACCATCAGCGAGTCCATGGAGTTCGCCGGTAGTACTTGTGAAGAAGAAGGATGGTCAAATGCGGTTCTGCGTAGACTACCGGAAACTAAACGATGTGACGAAAAAGGACAGCTATCCTCTTCCCAGGATCGATGACACTCTGGACTCGTTGACTGGAACAAAGTGGTTCTCAACACTCGATCTTAAGAGCGGTTATTGGCAAGTGGAGGTAAGTGACGAGGACAAGGAGAAGACAGCTTTCAGCGTTGGAGATGGTCTTTGGCGATTCACGGTGATGCCCTTTGGATCATGCAACGCTCCTGCCACTTTTGAAAGACTTATGGACCATGTGCTTAAGGGACTGCATTGGAAAACATGTTTGATGTATCCAGACGACATTATCGTATTGGATAAAAGTTTTGAGGAACACCTGAACAATTTGGAAGAAGTTTTCCAGAGGATAGCTGGCGCTGGTCTGAAGCTAAGTCCCAAAAAGTGCTTACTGTTCAAGAAGGAGGTGAACTACTTGGGACACAAGGTGGCAACGTAGGGCGTCTGTACTGCGAAGGAAAAGATAGAAGCAGTAAAGGATTGGCCAAGACCTAGGAACCTGCACGAACTACAAAGTTTCCTTGGGCTATGCACCTACTACCGCCATTTTGTTCCGAATTTCGCCAGCGTTGCTAATAGCCCTAACGAGCTCACTAGGAAAAATAGAGCCCTCGAGTGGAACAAGGAGCAGGAGGAGGCTTTCCAAACTCTGAAGGAACGGCTATGCACTGCACCTATGCTAGAGTATCCCGTTTCAGGTGCAACGTTTATTTTGGATACGGATGCTAGTGGTTATGCCATAGGAGGCGTACTGTCGCAGGTAATTGATGGGCAGGAGAAGGTAGTTGCCTACTATAGCCGGTCGATTGGAAAACCAGAGAGGAACTGCTGCGTAACTCGGAGAGAACTACTAGCGTTGGTGGAGTGCGTCAAACATTTCCACAAGTACCTCTATGGGCAACGTTTCCGAGTTCGAACGGACCATGCAGCGCTGAAGTGGCTACTACAGTTTAAGAACCCAGAAGGACAGCTAGCCAGGTGGATTGAGAGACTGCAAAGTTATGACTTCGCTATTGAGCACCGCAAGGGAAGTGTCCACTGAAATGCTGATGCCATGTCCCGTCGACTATCTAGCTTGGAATGTAATTACTGCTCAGAAGCTGAGGGCAAAGAATACATTATAGACGTCCGGCTAACTACAATAACACCAGCGGAAGAGTGGAAGGAAGAACAGCTACGAAAGTTTCAGCAGGAAGATCCAGATCTGGAGCTTTTGACGCATGGACTGGAAGTAGACAGAAGGCCAACTAAGGAGCAAATGGCAGCGGAAAGCCCCATCGCAAAGGCGTACTGGGCACAATGGAACAGCTTAAAATTAATATCTGGCTGTTTGCACAGGGTATGGGAAAGTGAAGATGGCCAGTGCTCCCGCAACCTAATAGTAGTTCCAAGGGTAAGAATTCGGGATGTACTCAAGGAATTCCACAATGGTCCTAGTGGAGGGCACTTGGGAATCACGAAGACCCTGGAGAAGATCAAGCAGAGGTTCTATTGGGTTGGTTGTCGGCAATCGGTCGCAGAGTGGATTGCTAACTGCGCAGAGTGTATTGCAGCTAAAGGGCCGAAATCCAGAAGTCATGGCCAGATGAACCAGTATAACTCTGGCGCACCATTCGAGCGCATTGCCATGGATGTAGCCGGTCCATTTCCTACGAGCGCACAGGGAAACAAATACGACCTTGTGGTTATCGACTACTTTAGCAAATGGCCGGAGGTATACCCGATTTCAAACCAGGAAGCTAAAACAGTAGCGGAGGTATTCACCTACAATTATGTTGCGAGATACGGTGTACCTATAGAGCAGCACTCTGACCAGGGAGGAAATTTTGAATCGGCGGTGTTCCAAGAGATGTGCCAGATACTGGGTATCCGAAAAACTCCGGAGAAACTGGAAGAGCATTTGCGGAAGGTCGTGGACAAGAATCAGGAAGATTGGGATGTCCGCATACCCTTGTTCCTGATGGGATACCGGTCAGCAGTGCACGAAACAACGGGTAAAACTCCTGCAAGGGTAATCTTCGGCAGTGAGCTCCGTTTGCCTAGTGACCTGAAGTTTGGAGTAACAGGCGATGCAAGGAGGATTGGGAAAGAGACGTCCAATATCTTGGAAGAGGAGTTGAGAGAAGTACATGCCCTTGTGAGACAGCGAACTCAAATTATGAGTGACAAGATGAAGGCCAGGTATGATAAGGCAATGAACTGCGAGGGTTTCCAAGAGGGAGACTTAGTGTTGCTGTATAATCCACTACGGAAGAAAGGCTTGTCCCCAAAACTACATTGCAACTGGGAAGTCCGTATAAGGTCGTCAAACGGCTGAAGGACGTAGTGTATCGAATCCAGACCGTTGGGTGACCAAGAAACAAGATGAAGGTGGTCCACTTGGAAAGGCTTGCAGCGTTTGGAACAGCAAGTGTGTCTGATCGGGACGATCAGACTTAGGTGGAGGGCAGTGTGGCGAATACTCCGGCAACGCGAAGCGAACTACGAGAAATAGACGGAATGTTCGAGGAATGACGTAGAATGTTCCACAAAGAGAAACGTTAAGTTGGATGAACACTGCGAACAGCGAGAGAAGCAGAATGATCGATAAACTTCAGGACGTTCTAGAGTTGCCATAAGTGCGAGCGCAGGTATATAAGGGCGCCATAGCAGCGAAGTGAGTTAGTGACAAGTCAGCAAGCTACAAGTAAAGTGAGCAGAGAAGTGAGTTGCTAATAAGCAAGCTATAAGTTTAATTGTGTTAACAAGTTTAGTAAAGCATTGTTATTGCTTTAACATGTATTGTAAAGTGTTTTTACTGTATTAGCGAATATTGTAAATTGTTTGTTGTACAATAAAGTTAATTGTACTACAGTTCGGTCTTCGTTAGCATTTATTTAACAATCCAGCGATACGAACCGAGAGATTTGGGAAATCCGGACGAGGTTTCAAGGATAATCGTAACAATGGGATATTTCTATGTATTTTCCAGGCGGTTTCCAGGCAGAAGAACATTTGTCATTTGTATGTATGCACAATGGTTGTAATTAGATGAAATGCATCATATAAATCAAAAAGTGAATTTCGAATTTTTTATTAGCTATAACTTTTTGCATTTCAACGATGATGTTTGTTACGTCTTTTTGCATTTGAGGTTACGACATGATCGCAGTATATACTGTAATAAACCTTTTTGAGTCCTCCTCGGGGGTAAAATCTGATCAGGGTTGATAATGAGAAGGAGCGTGAATTTTGCTGATTCAGAGTTGTATACAAAATAGCTGTGGCATGAAAGGGAGCAACAACCGTACTCTGGCAGAGTGGCACAGGTAATTTTGTAAACAACACTTTTCTTATCACTTAACTTGATAATTGCTATTTCTTTTCTAATATTCAGATATCCAGCTTGTAGCCAGAGGCATTGGCATGTGAGGCTCACCAAAATCTACACATAATGCTGGAGCAGCTCCGGGTAATGGACCATTGAATGTGCTTGCTGCACTTATGACCACCATAACTAACGGAGTCTCCAAGCAAATGCATGCCCTGAATTTATACGGTAGCAATTCATAGCAATTACTATTATATGTGTGTATGATTTATATTTGTGACATTCTATACTTTGATGTTAGGTATTTTTGAGGAGCTCCGGGTAATGGGTGTGCTTAATGAAATATCTAGGCGGATGAGCTGGCAGGCATTAGACTCTCAATAACTATACAAAAACCTCGTTTTTTGGAATTAGGACTCAACTATATTCGGAAATTTAGAATTTTACTTGATAGATTTACAAAATAACACAATTCACGTTTTTCATGAAAATATAATCTTACAATTGAGGGATTCACAACGGTGTCTTAAGTGTCGTATTGTTGTGTGTCGTAAACTTTAAAAGCTTAAAGAAATGTTTAGAGAACTGGAAACGACAACGAACTATTTTTTAACACTCCAACAATTCATAATATGACTTTGATGGTACTTCGCGAACCCCTTAATATATTTTTTAGGCGCTTAAAGCTTACGATATACAACAATACGACACTTACGACACCGTTGTGAATACCCCAAATGTTTTTTTTTTAATTTTAAACTTACATTTAAGAAAACTACATTCAGTGCTATAATTACGATTTGAGTTTTCCAGTTTATAGAAACACAAACGTTAATTATGTACTTAACTATTGATATTACTCTTAATTAAGCATTGATATTATATTTAACCTACATGATGTTCGTAAATAACCGGGGACCGTAACGGTTATAACTTTTATTATAAAAATCACTTTTTAATCGTTATTAACTGAGTTTTATTTTTAATTAATTAATTTTAATTTAATTTTAATTTTTTGCTCGGAAAATAATCGTTACGTTTTAAGTTTTATTTTTTGCTCGTAAAAAATGGTTACGTTTTAAGTTTTATTTTTTGCTCGGAAAATAATCGTCACGTTTTAAGTTTTATTTTTTGCTCGGAAAATAATGGTTACGTTTTAAGATTTATTTTTTGCTCGGAAAATAATCGTTATTTCTCGAGTTTTATTTTTTGCTCAGAAAATAAAACTTAATTTTTGCGTATGCGTATGCGCATGCGTGAATAGACAGGGGGTGGCTGTCTTTATCCTCGTCTTTTTATTTATTTTTAACTTTGTCCTGTCCTGTTCTTCATCTTTATCATTGGCTTGATCCTTCAGTGTAGGTTTTGAGTGTCTGTGGTTTTGTCGTAGCCCTTGTCTTTGTTTCTGCCCTTGTATCTTGCTCTCTGTATTTTCATTACGCACTCCACAGTGGCGTTAAAAATCAATGTTTTTTTGCGTAATTTTGTACGAAAACAATTCTGTGTCGGAGGCGAAATAAAAGATGTAAATCGATGTGTGTTTGCAGGAAATATTAGTGGTGTTCATTTAAACAGATAAATTTGCCCTTCGCATATGCGTATATTTTCCACAGCTTTATATAAACGATCAAAGAAGAATATTTGTTGCCCCTTATCAGAGTGTCCAGATTTGGCGATTTTTTTTGGATATTTGCGCGTAAAATTTGGGAAATCGCCTTTGGCGATTTTTGGCGATTTTTCCCCTTCAAATAAATTTTTTCCAATTATAAAAATATTTGTTATTGTTATTTTATTGTTGAATATAATTAAAAAAATATACGAAACTTAGTTTTCCACGATAATTTTACAGAAGAGGCTAACGAACTGCATGATAAAGACTGTCAAAAATGTTTAATCACCCTAATCGAAGAATCATGGACCTAGTCAATTAAATACTTTTAAAAAAGTTTTGATTCTATCACAAAAAAGTGTGTGAATCACAAGAGGGCGAGCTTCAGGGACCAGCCAATTCATCATTTGACTTTGAAGGAAAGAAAAGCAGCAGAAACTGAATATTTAAATCTTTGAACTTTCCCATGGTATAACTTTTCTCAGAACCATTCTATTCGACTCAGAGGGATTTTGGATAATTGCTTACGGAGTGAAAACCGCAACAGGCAATAAAATGTTTGGAAATATAAGTAAATTCATATTATTATCCTTGCCGCACTCACATGCTTTGTTGAGCGCGTTTTTTCCGTAATGAATTCAACAAAAACTAAGATTCGAAATAGGATGAGTTTGGAAAGCCTTAATTCAATAGTTCGAATAAAGTGTTATATGAAGGCTAATAGTTTCTGCTGCAAAACGTTTCCAATATCAAACAGTATGTTACCAAGGTTGAATAACTCAATATATGACAACAGAAATTCAGACTAGGTGATTTTGAAGAAATTGTGGAAATAGCTGATCTCGCCTTATTATAGGTTTTTATTTAATTTTTAGCGCCGAGCTCTTAAAAGCGGATTGTGCGATTAATCAATTAGTACGAGTTATAATAAATGTAATAATTGCGCAGTCCTATTGCAAAATGTATTGGAACAAATATTTTTAAAAAGTATGGGTATTTTTAAAGAAAATTGTTTGCACATCACTATAATCTACATAAGTGATTTGTGTTTTTTGTTATTACCCTCTGAAGGTATTATATTTGTTTTTGGTTTTAAAAACTATATTATAACAAGATTTTTAAAATTAAAGATTTGCTAAATTGATTTCATGAATTAAAAAAAAAGAATTGGCGATTTTTGGCAATTTTTTTCAGAAATTGCGCTTTTTTTAACAATCTGGACACACTGCCCCTTATCGAGAATCTTGGGTCCGGTTTAGTTATTTGTACAACGATTTTCGGTTGTTGTGTCCAAACGCATAATCCGAACCCAAAAACTCTAACATCACGGAAAATCAAAGGATTAAAATTTTATTTAAAATAAATGTTTCAAGTTTCCCAGCACTATCTTATTAATAAATTCGGTATGCACTTTTTTGCAAATTTCGACGTGGGTTCTGCGCAAAAATACTGTGGATGGCGGAGCCGGAGTGATGTGCGTGAGTGTTTTATACCTTTGACATGGCAAAGGCAACACAGAAAGGAGAATTCTACTTAGTAAGGGTTATAATCCCTAAGCGCGGCCGAAGGTAGAAGCAAGTGCAACAGGTGGTGGACCTAACAAAGTGCATGTTTTCAATGGCTTGGAAGAAGCTGCATTAACTGGATTGAGAACCAGTTCTTCAGGCATAGGAGTAGTTCTGGCTTGTGGTTCAACAATTCAACCAGAAGCTAACATAGACGCGCCCATGGTTACTATGTCCGACAGCTTCGCATATCTTTGTGAAATCATTCCCATAGCGCGCTATTACTCCGCTGCTATAATTGCAAATGCAGTAGAACCCACCGTTTCCTTCAAAATATGTAAAATCAAACAATTTTACTATAAATAAGCTCTTCATGGGTGTTTTTTTAATTCCTTTCCACTTTGTTTGCCTTCATTAAGCTATCATCGACAATCAACTGATAGCTGGCAATGCTGCACATGTTTCCGCAAGGGTTGCAGCATGTGGATTTTACGATTTTCGGAGCGTAGCTACGAATTACGAATTACGAAAATTCGGGTTCTAGAATAAGGGCGATAATTATATATATTTTACCCTCGAAAAGAACTTTTCACATCATTTGAAATTCCCCACAGTAAGTGTTGCCGTGCGCGTAAAACGAAAATGCTGCACACAACCCAAAAGTACTCATCGGGACCAATCGCTCTAAAACTGCAAAAAGGTCTATTACTATATATACTGTGGTTATCAGGAAGAAAAAGAATGGGAAAAATGAGAGAATTAAGCTCACAGTAGTAAAGAAACGCAAAACTTGCAAGTAAACAGCCGATCGGTGTATTTGACAATTGAAAATATTTGGGGCGAATTTTTGTTTATTCATTTTGACAGCTGCTAGTTTCTGTTAGTAAAAATTTTACCAGCAGAAGTTAGCAGGAGAGCAAAAAAAGAAGAGCGTAAGAACAAGAGAGAGCTACTACAGTTTCTGGTAGTCTTTTGGGTTAACAAAGGCTTTATAGCAGAAACTAATAATTACCCTGGGATTCAGTAAGCAGTCTCTGGTCACTATTAGTGACTTTTGGTGGTAAACTTGGATTTTGAGACTATTTGGTATTCAGAAAGCTATCTCACGTCTCTAGTCTCAAAAAAAGTCACTAATTTGTCAGCTGGCTCTGAGCTGTTCACAAAAAGAAAAATATGGAGGAAAAGATACTTGTTTTCTGTTTTATTAAAAAAAAACGCGAAAATGAAGGGAAGAAATATTTGTTCAACAACAATCCAATAAGGAAATAAACCAAAATGCTTACTATCGTAAAAATTTATTGAAAAATTTATATTATTTCTTTTTAACATTAAAATCTAAAGATTATGTAAAAAAATAAAACTAACCAAAAAATCTAACCCTGGCATTCAGCAAGCGGTCTCTAGTCACTAATAGTGACTCTTGGTGGTGAACTTGGATTTTGAGACTATTTGGTATTCAGTGCGCTGTCTCACGTCTCTAGTCTCAAAAAAAGTGCTAATTTGTCATCTGTCTAAGAGCAGGTTACAAAATAAAAATATGGAGGAAATGTTATTTTCTTTCCATTTTATTAAAAAAAAAAACATGAAAATGAAGCGAGAAAAATTTGTTCACCAACAATTTCGTTAGAAAATAAACCAAAATGCTTTAATATCACACACATTTTTTGTTTTTAAAACATTAAAATCTAAATATTATAAAAAAAAATAAAACTAACAAAAAAACACTAAATAAAAAAATTTAAAATCCTCTACGCCCGACGAGGACTCAAACACGGACCCTCTTGACCGGCAGCCTAATGCCTTGACCACTAGGCCATTGCGGCTCTTTGGCCGACGCGGCAAAATGCATACATAAACGCTACCATTTGACTGTCTGTGTTTGTTTTCACCACACATTTTTGGTGATCTTTTTGCGACTCTCTCCTACCGAATACCCAAATCATCTCAAGTCCCAAAAATAGTCACTAATTGCTAATCTCAAATTTAGCGACTTGAGATGAGACTGAATTACTGAATGCCAGGGTAACACAAAAAAATAATAATCCTCTGTGCCCGAGGAGGACTTGAACCCGGATCTCTCGAGCGGCAGTTTAATGCTTTGACCACTCGGCTATTGCCACTCTTGGAACGGCGCGAGCAAAAGGCATAGATAAATGCTATAAGTTGACTGCGTGTGTTTGTTTTCACCACACGTCAGAATTTTACCTAGCTCATGCGGCTAGGTCAAATTTTGACAGCTTATAACCATGTATACACATAATATTGCTTGGCGGTAATAAGGAGTGAACATGAAAATGAAAGCTGAAACAGCATAAAAAAGGGTACGTTACTTGCAAATTATAAAATAAATATAAATTTTAAGAATTTCAGCAACACACAAAAATAAAGCTTTCGCACGAGCGTTT